TCATTCCCCCCCGACTTCAACTCAACCAACCCTCTTGCTTTAATGAGACTATGAACCAATTCAGCACATTCTGGGGGATGACTTACAGGCTGCTGCTGTGGAGAGGCAGGGCAGGCCATGACAGGAAAGGGCTGCAGCCGAGCTGTAAAGATGAAGTTTTACTTCAGATGAAAATTATTAAAAAAAAGAAAAATGCAAATTTCACTTTTACCTCATGAATTATGTGATTTAGGTTTCTCTTTGTCCCCTCCTTTTCACAGCTGGGTTAACTTTCAGGTAGACAGAGCTAAATCAACACTTGGCCCTAGGACAAAATTTAGGGCAAGCGAAGTCATCCAGGATAATACAGTGAAAAATTAAAGCCCAGAGGGCCTGTATTTCCATCATGAACCTCCACCTAAGAAGGATCAAGTTTGTCTCTCTCTAGAGGAGCCATGGGACAAAGACCTGTTGGGGTGCAGGAAGACAACGAGCCTTCCCAATGCGGAGTTGTCAAGGTTCATATCTAAAGGGCAAAGCTTGCTCCCTTGGCCTCCTTCTTCCTGCTCCTCACTGGAGCACTGGGCCCTGGTACCTTCACAGGGCAGCGTCTCTCCAGTGATAGCCTCCAGACCAGGCTGACTCTGTCCTCTGTGGCAGCAGTGCCATTGTCCCTGGCTCAGGAAATGCCTGTCCCACTGCCTGCTGGTGGAAGGAGAGGGGTGCAGCACTGCGCTGCTGGAAGGGGAGGAGAACGAGGTGCAGGAGGCGGTGAAGGAGATAGAAGAATTGGTTCTCATGTGTCGGGGAAAGCGGCCCTCCGCCACAAATCGGGTGTTGTGTCCTCATGGTCCCTGCCTTTCCTCCTGAAAGGCACGTTCCCTCAGCAGCAGCATGGTGCTGAGACTTGTTCATCCCCTGACATGTTGTTTCATGTCACGTAACCCCTGTTTCTGCTGTGGCCCTGACACACTCTGCTCTGGCTTCCTTGTACCATCTGGGTGCATACGGAGTCAGCTGAGAATTTTCCTTTCAGACTTTGCAATACTTGATGGTGTGGAGATGCTTTAACTTCAGGAGTGCCTCTGGTCCTGTGAAACTTGAAGGAAGACCCGTGAGAGAGTTGCTGCTCAGGCTTCATTCTACCGTGCCTCGGGAGCACTGGGTTATGTTCTCCAGTCCTAGAGGAACACCATAGCATGTTTAGAGTGGCTTATACGTGAAATATCTTAAACTTTCTTCAGCTATATATAGAATTCCTTCAATTTCTATATAGACAGCAAGCAAAACAAAAGCAAGGAGATAAACTTGGGGAGAGAGAGGTGATGCTCCAAGATGAAACCAATGCAATTATTTTTAAATACCTCTCTTTTACTCTTTCTGCAGTTTATTTTTCAGGATTATTGAAATTTAAAGTGATTGTTCAGAAACCTCCTGAATTTTCCATGAGAGCTCTACAGATGTATATGCACCAGCTTTTGTAGAGGCTGCATTTTAAAATGGTTCCTTTTACAAACATAGTGCCTTCATATTTCTTTAGCTTCCCCTAGTTAAATGGCCCATATGTGAACTGGAGATTTTCCTGTTCTTTCACAGAACCTTTCACAAGTGAGCTGCAAATTTAATTCTTTAACCAAAATTAAAACAAATTAGGGGTTACTACGTGCAGAGGCTGAGGGAAGGGCTGTTGATGTGGTTGAGAGAATCTGAGTGTGAAGAAATGTGGAGAAGAATGGTGTGCAAGAGGAGATGGGAGAGACAGAGCTGTTTCTCAGTTGCAGGGAAGAATGCTCCTCTGCTGCAAAACTTGGTAGTAAGGCCATCAACCACAGCCCTAAGCCATCAAAGTCCATGAAATAGGAGTGCAGTCTGCTCAGTGACTGCTTCCAGCCAATTTCCGACTTTCTTTTTCCATCTTTCACTTCATTAGTATACCCTCATCTCTGTGAAACGCTGAATCAGTCTGTGGAACACTGAAGAAAACAGTTGTAGAATTTGGGAGTGTGAGTGTCTCTTGAGTGTTGGTGACATGGAATTTTTATGGCTGCTCAAAAATATATTTGAACTGTTTCTATTTTAAATTAGCATTGATTTAGGTAAGGCAAAAGCAACTTGCTCATCCTCTCCCTGAAATGTGTGTGTGTGACAATTAGACAGCACAGGAATAAGAATGTTTCTAAAATAAGATATAGTTCCCAACAATTTTATAATGGAAAACATGGCTCAGTTGTATCAGTTTCAATTGTTTTCCCAGCCTTTGTTTTTTGTTATTTATTCTGGTTACCCCAGATAAATGCAAATTACATATGCACCAGAGAAAGTATGTGAAATTCCATTCTGATCTGAATCTACTAAGAGAAACACTTTTTTATATTAATTTCATGGGATTTTTTTAAGAATGTACTTGGGCTCAATTAATTGCATACTTCTAAATGGTATCTGCCTTCTAATTAGTGTTAAGATGCAAAATTTCAAGTTCCATTTCAATATAGTGATTTCTGATTGAAATATCAAGATATAGAGGATGCAATAATGGAATGTTCTGTAACAAACTACACATCTGATTTAATTTCTTTGTGTTGAACAATTCTTATTTATCTGTTGCTTTTCACAACAGTGAGCAAGTACTGCTTTCTGCAATTAGAGAATGATTGAAATGAATCTATCCTGGTCGTGAAGGCAGTTGGGCAATAAATGCTTGATTACGTGCAAGAGAAAGAACATATCCTATGAGTAGATTGGCTATGATTTTTTAAAAATAATAATAAAGCCATAATGAGTGGTAAAGCACTTTTAATGGACTTGCTTGTTTCCTTTTTAAGAACTGTCAGTATAATACTGCTGGGGAGAAATGTGAGCGCTGTAAAGACGGTTATTTTGGAGATGCCACTCAAGGTTCCTGTCGGGTGTGTCCTTGCCCTTATACAAACAGGTACAGTAAAAAAGGTCATGAGTAGTCAACAAGAGGGTAAAGGGGAGGCGGGGGCGGAAAAAAAAAAGGAAAAAAAACCCAACACAAACCCCTGCTACCATAGGGAGAGAATGATCTTTTGTCTGTATTCTCGTATCACCCAACATGGTGAGGCATCAGACCCATTTGAGGCATGTTAGAGCAGCAGTAACTTGGTGCTCTGTCTCACACCATTGCCTTTTTTAATAAGCTGAGTATTCAAATTCCCACTCAGTTCCTGAACCACGAAGGCATGCTGTTCATCACCTGGGGGAGCCCCAGGCAGTTGTAATGCGCTTGTGTACAAAACCACCAGTAACTCCTTCGTAGTAAGAAGTATAAGATGGAAATCTTTGCCCTTACTGGACATATCCAGAATCTTGTTTACTGAAATGCAAGATGTAAGTTGTCTTTAGTCTCACATTTAACACCGTTACTCTGGCTAGGAGATAAGTGACAACAATGAAACAAGCCTTTTATATGACTTCAGAAAATTTAGTAAGATGCAAAAATAATATAATAACATTAAAGCTCTTAAGCACATATCTAGATTTCTGAAAGAGTATGGTTGTTCTTCAGGTGGAAGCTCTGTTTGAAGTGCAAACATACCGAGCTAGAAAAAAATGTAATTTCCTTGTACCTAATAAGGTTGCCAGGCTTTTAAAATTAGGCAGTAAATTGCATTTTAAATGCATGGTATATTTAACCACATTGGTCAGTTCTGAAAGGTGAAATGTGTTAAATAAAAACAGATATTTTTTAAAAAAACCCTAAGTTATAAATTGCTAAAGGCACCATATAGTATTTGCCAGGTGCATTAGCAAACACCAAGTAGCCTTAAGTAAGAGATTTACACTAGCAGACAAAGGACAGGTTTTTCATTTATCAGACAGCTCTCTGATAGATCTGGTTTTGACAGCATTGGCCTCTTCTGCAGGTGCTTGCCTGAGGCTGACTGAACATATCTTTAGTCATCTTTTGCTTTAAGAGTGCTGAAATACCTGGGGAGACCATAAACCTGTACAATTTCATAGCTGCACATTAGGACGGTAAATACCATTCCTGACATAGGACATGCACCCCACCTGGCACTACTGGAGTTGACAATTTTCCACGTAGTCAAATTATATGTAGTTCTTGGAGCAGACATCTGTCTTTGATACACAGACTTGCTTTATCCAACTGTACACAGATTAAAAAATGGAGATAGAAAACATGGCCTGTGTCTGCTTCATGTCCTGCCTGGCGGCAGGTTTTTCTCCCAGAGAAATCTGAATCTAGATAAGTCTGCTAGAAAGAGCAGACAAAAATGTTCATTGTGTTAACCAGATATACTCTAGAGCTCCCCAAAATGGTGCACAATTCTATTCTGCCTTGGTTAAAAAAACCCAAACAATATTAGTTATGTAAAAATATCCTCTAATGTTTCCATCCATAAAAAAAAGAAAAAAAAAAAAGCTATGCAAACTGGAGGAAATGTTGTCTAGCACAGGCTATTGATTCTTGCCTAGTGAGATAAAATAGCTACCCAGACTTGTTTTATTTACAACATCACTATTAAGGTATATTTTAGGAATTACTTTGGATAGTGAACTACTATACTCAGTCCAGAGAGTCAGGAAATGATTATTTTTTTAGTCTAAGGAAAGAATCTAGACCAAAAATATGAAACTTCAAAGAACTAGTCACAGCAATTTATCTAGAGGCAATTAAATTAGCTGAGAAGTAATTTGGTGGCATAAAAACTTTTTAATCTGAAAGTCATTTAACTGAGCTTAGCCTCTAGAGTGTAAAATCTGTTTGATGATGTGCTCACAATAATGTTTTTGCTTCTTCTCAAAGATTTGCAACTGGCTGTGTAGCAAATGGTGATGAAATTCAGTGTCTCTGCAAAGAAGGCTATACCGGAGTTCGTTGTGAACGGTAAGTGACTTGTTCCTCAAGACCAAGGTCTTTGAGAGACACCATAAAAGGAGGTATGTCCATATTGGGTAATACATGGACATATGGATATGCATAGTATGCCCATGCTTCAGGAGTATCTATTTATATGAACAGCTGCTATAATGTGGTGCTATAGTGTAACTCTAGGCGTAAACCCAACACTCTCTGAAGAAATGTAAACAATTCTCCACAGCCTATTTAGTGACTACACAGTTTTAACCAAAAAAGAGAGGTGTCAGCCTCTTTGCCTCAGTGCCCTGTGCCTTGCCTTACCCTGCACTCTTTCTGGTGATAATGTCTCCCACTGACTTTGTCCCTTTTTGAGTTAAAAACATTTTCCCAATTTTTTCCAAAGTACCTGATGGTGCTTCAGTGTTCTTAGTTATCCAACAGCAACCACGTAGCGTTTGGCACCATGCCCTTCATCCTAAATCCTGATATGCTCCACAGGTGGAAGGTGCAAACACAATGATGAAGCCATCTCTTGCTGGAACATTGCAGCAGTTTGGCAAAGCACAAGAGGAACAGCATGGCAGTTTCAGGCAGGCAGAGGAAGCAATTTCACTGTTTCAAATCCAGGGAGAATTTATGTGTAATGGAGTGGTGTTGTCTGGTTTGGAAACTTGTGGCCGAGAAGTCATGATGTCGCACCTGAAGACAGTACCTCCAGTAGCATGTTGTCTTGTGTTACCTTTGACATCTAAGCTGCAGGTTATAGACAGATTTTCTCTTCCAGATCTAGCTGTACCTCGGCTGCTCATCAGGGCCCTTTGATCACGCATTACCACCCCTGTAGGTCTTACAACAGAGTGACTTCTAGGAATATTAGCTAACCAGTCTGGAGAATATATTTTATCTATAAAATTAATTAGAGATCCCTCACACAGACTGCTCTGCTGGCAGATGGCAAGAGGAGGTATCACGCAGCAGAAAGGTGATAATGTCATTCAGTGGCATCACTGTTTGAGATCTCAACATGTGCTTGCAGTATGATCCTCCTTAATATGTGTTTTCTGGTGGGATCACAGACTGGAATGGTGTCGTTTGCTGGGTTAAGCCTTGCCAAATTCTCTATGTATGTATGTATCTGTGTGCGTTGCATTTTTTCAGATTAAGTGAATTATTCCTATGCGAGTATTATGGGAGTTCTTTTATTTTTAGAAAAAAATTCTGCAGTACTTGGAAAGATATTTTTAGCATAGTGCAGAGGATACTGTAAACCAAAAATATACCCTTTTTGTCTAAGTCAAGACATGAAATCAAATGTTCTTGAAAGTTTGTTCAGGAGAATAATTGGGGTTTTTTTGTCAAGGGAAGGTATATTTCACAAAAGGAGCTTCAAATATTTAATAAGAATTATTTGTATCTCTTTATCTAGCTGTGCTCCAGGATATTTTGGGAATCCACAAAAGTATGGAGGCTACTGTCAGAAATGTAACTGTAATACTAATGGACAGCTGGCTAGCTGTGACCGCCTGACTGGAGGTATGTGAGAGCCTATGAACATGGAAGGGAGGCTTTGTTTTCTCTCTGGGAAGCAGAGAAGGAAGGTACTTACATCAGTTTAACTGAAAAAAAAATGTACATTTATACGAAATGCAGATCTTTTCTAACAAAAAGTAAATGTTTTGTAAACAAAAATGCTATGTTTCCTAAAACATAACATCATGGCAATACAAGGGCTGTCCTGAGTAATCGAGTTCACCCTTCTAAGCCATTTTATCATGTACTTCCCTTCTTAAATACTACCAGTTTTATTTTGGTTTTCTGTTTCATGGGTATGTTTTTAAATGCATTACGGTTCTTCATCTGACATGGTGAAGCCGTATGTTGCCAGTCTGTTAATGGGCTTATGAAACTGAGCAGTCTCCATATGCCTTTTTAAAATGTATTTGGGACGGATCAGTGACATCTTCAGAGTCTGCATCAGGCACTGCCATCTTAGGTATCCAAGCTAACTGGGTTTACAGTGGAAGTTAGGAACTGCCTCTGAAGGCTGTGTTATAAATCCTGCTAAACATCATTCTGCCGTCTAAGACATCTGTGATTTTCCCAGTATCAATCACGCATGTACTGCACTACTAGTAAGCCCTTATACGAATATTATGCCACTGGCATGTGTTTGCTTTATCTATTATATGTCAGAAGTAAAGGGCCTGACCCTATATTCCTCAGACTGTTTTTAACCCAATTCACTTCAATCCTTTTGGATACTCATTTTTATTCAGAAACACATAGGCCACTGCCCCTGAAAAGGACCTTGATTCTCCCATCTTTTCATTCTCCCATAAAATTCCACTTTTCTTTCCCTGTAGGCAGCTTTTCCTCCTCAGATGTTAGTCAAGTGTCAGACTAATCACTCCTAACGTTTCCCTGCTCTTCATTTCTCTGCACTGCTCTTCATACTGCGTTCAAATGACTGCCAAGGATCACCTTATCTTTCCCTGGTCACAGAATTTAGAAAACCAGCAAGTGATGTGAACTGCTGTTGGCAGCTGGTGCAATTTTTCAATAGCTAGTTCTCATTTCATATTTCATCACTGAAGTAATACATCTTTATTATATTTATACCTTGTGTGGAACAGATCCAAGCAGTGTTTGATGTTTTGTCACTACTTTCTTTTTGAAGCAAGAGTTTGCTAGGACAAACTAATCCGTAGGGCAAAATTCAACAATCCAGTTTGTTTTCAGTTTGTCTCCAACTATATATTCAGATCAGCCATCTCTTTCTCTGCATTAGGAATAAAACCATCTGTGATCATCAGCACAGCATGTTCTAGCAGGTTTCTTGTGCATGATGTTGGGCACTTGGCCAGACTTTTTCATTTCACTATTTCTTGGCTGATGTTGTTTGTGCACAAGCTGTAATAATAGTTTTATTTAATTGGTACTTTGCAGCAACAGCCGAAATGTGTCTGGTGTTGGCTGAATTACACAACAGCAGAACTGCAGGGGTATTTGAATTTGGAATAATTTCCTTCATTCTCTTACAACTATATTCTTTGTGACTTATCTCCTTTTGACAGCAGCACTCACTATCAATCTCGTTTAACTTCCTGATGACTTAATGTGCAAGTGCCAAAGGAAATGGCACAGCTAGGCAGTTTGTTGCAGGCTGTTTCATGCTGCTGTTAAAGTTCAGGTCCAATTTTGTCACTCTAACCTCTCACAGTTGCAAGCTGTTGTTGACTCTTGACAGTAGCAGCCTATACCCTGAGCGCATCTTTTTCCTTCAGAGTAAAAGACACGCACAGCCCTTTTCATTTTCAAAAGGAGATGAGAGTTTGTCAGTAGGACAGTCCTGGTTTTGGCTGGGCTAGAGCTAGATTTCTTTTTAGTAGCTAAATAGCACTGTATTTAGGATTCAGTATGGGATTTGGTATGAGAAGAATGTTGGTAATATACTGATGGTTTTGGTTCTTACAGTGCAGACAAAGCCTTTACAGCTTCCCATGTTTTGCTAGTGTGCAGGTACACAAGAAGCTGTGAGGGAGCATAGTCAGAGTAGCAGATCCAAATGGCCAATGGATATTCCATACCATCCAGTGTCATACTCAGTGTATTATGAGGATCTGCCCAGAAGTGCTCTCTCTCTTCTGGGATTGCAGTTTTAGGACTTTCTCTGCTCCAGCATTGTAGCCATGAATGGGCTGGGCCTTGGTCAGGGGGTGGTGAGAAGTTGCACTGCATATCACTCATTTGTATATTATGTTATTATTATTATTATTACTATTTTTATTTTATTTCAGTTATTAAATTGTTTTTCTTTCAACCCACGATTCTCTTTACCTTTACTTGTCTGATTCTCTCGCCTATCCCCTGCAACAGGGGAGGGTGAGTGAGCAGCTGTGTGGTGTTTGCTCACTGGCTGGGTTAAAACCATGACAAGGACCAAGTCTGTAAAAGGGTCTTGGGCATCAAGGTGGGGAGACTTCTGCCCACTATGATGGCATTTTTAGGAGCTAGTTCCTCTGCCGCCTCCTAGAAGTTAGGATCCCAGGCTGTTACAATCCCATGTGCACCTGGAGAGCGTTAAACTTCTTATAATGGGGTTTGTAAAACAAACTAACCAAAACAGCACACTGGACAGGCAGTCACTTGTGCTAGCTTGTTGGAAAGTCTGAGGGCAATGTTTGTTATGTACCACCTGTGTCTGTGGTCCAAGCTCGATGCCTTGGGTTACATACAGTGCCTCCTTCCACTGGGGATTTCTCTCAAGCTTGATTAATCCCTTAATCTTGCAAACTGTGACAGGTATGAAGGAAGGCCATAAACATTTCTCAGTTCTTTGTGGGCAAGATGTCCTTTGAGGTAGCATAATCTGTGGTTTGAATGTGGACGCTAAAGTAGATAAAGGGGTTTGAACCTATGTTCTGGGTAAAGTGCTTTAACAATATAGCCTTGGCTCCAATCCCAGTGGTGTTATTCTCGGCAAATTCTAGAAATGCATTCAGCACACTTGATGTGAGAGAACATCCTGCTGCTACCCAAGTGGCATATATTTGGGGGGGGGAGGCGGTGTCCAGTCAGTTTCCTTTGAGGCACTCAAGCCTCCTGGGCATTTCAGCTCATTCACAGCGGGTCTGGATTCGTGAAAGGGCAGCACCGTGTTTCAATGGCCAGCAACCATGAAAAGTGAGGGCAAAAATGCAACAGTAGTATTTCCACAAGAAAACTCTGGTTACTGATGACAGTCTTGTGATTTCAGAATGTTTCAATAACGAACCAAAAGATGTGGATCCCAATGAAGATTGTGACCGTAAGTAATAAAATCAAACTGCACTTAGATTGCTACCTGCTGACTTCAGACATATACTGATGACTCTTTTAAGGGTGGCAGAGTATAAAAAGGACTGACAGTGTCCTATAATGAATGTTTTAAAAGCAAACATTCAACCAAACACTTGGAAAAATTATAAAAGAGGTCAGCTAGCCAGATATAGGTGGGACCCCCTCCTTATTTCTGGGTTTGGTCATGCTCCTTAATACCATGGGCTTTGTTGTTGCCTTTGTTCTTCTGGTAGCACCAGGTGACAAGCATCAAAGGGTTTCCATTGCTTCTCTTTTATTAATGTGCTCAGTGAAATGTTCTCTGCACCAAAAGTCAATAATTTGTATTGTTTTCTTTTGCTCGTGCTCCCTCCAGCTTGTGATAGCTGTGTAATTACACTGCTGAAGGATTTGAGCACAATAGGTGACGAGCTTCAGCTGATTAAGTCTCAGCTGCAAAACATCCATGCGAATACCCACACACTGGAGCAGATGAGACGTCTGGAAACACGCATTAAGGACTTAAAGGTAGGAGCACATAAACAGAAAAGTGGATTTCAGGTTAAGCAAATAAGAGCTGAACCTAGGAATTTATGCCATCTTTTTTTCAGTTTCCAAGGAAACATACATGAACTTTTGATTTCAAATACCAGATCCTGACAGTACTAGTCTTCACCTGTTGGAAGAAAGCTGTTGTTTCCGTGTCATGGTCTGAAAGAGAGTCAGAATTGTTGTCTCACAAGCAGAGTTCAATGCCCGGTGTGCAATAAGCCAATACACAGACAGAGCTGAGATATTGTTTATTGCATGTCTATGCAGAGATAGGTGCTAGGTGGCAATTCCACAAAGCTAGCACACCCAGTTTCAGTCACATTGTGTATTTATACAGTTTAAAATGCTAGTGGCACATCCTTGTAATCCTATAGTTGGTTAGTTTTCATCTCTTAACTGCAGTTGGTTAGTTCCTTTTCTCGTTCAACTGAAAACCAGTGTTGCTTAAATTTCCTATGCATGCTTGGTAAGTGGGGGTCTTAATTCAGGAGGGTTGTCACAACACTTGGAGGTGTGATTTTTAGTATTATAATTATATTAAAATGAGGATAGGTAACTTTCACACAGTACTAATTAGTAACTTGGCTGACTACCCCAAACATACTGATTATTTTCCAGGATGTCCCCATCTTCAAGGGTAAATCTAACAAATCTTAAGTGATTAAAAAGTTTTTCTCAACAATCCCAAGGACAGTAATCCAAATCTACACAGAGAGAACATATTTGTTATGTTAGTTCTAGCTTCACTTGCAACAGAATCTCTCTTTTTCCAAGGCCTGTTCACCTTGAAAGCTATGTCTTTGAGATTTCCCTATAGCTCTGTGTTTTTCCAGCACTTACGTCTCTGCATTACTGAAAAAAACCCAGCATTCCAATTGCCAATACCAAAATTCATTTAAAAAAAAAAAGTTCTTTGGTTGGAATAGCAGCTGCTATCCTCACGGATAAAAAAGCCTAGGTTTTGGGCAGCAATTGGTCAGCCTTCATGGAAATAATGCAGCTTTTATTTACCTTGGTAAGGATCTGACCCAGTGAATTTTTGCATTTTGTCTTCTGTGCGTGGGTGATTTATTGGATCTTTTTTTTTTTCATTTCAGGTGTTGCTGAACAATTACCGTTCTGTTGTTCATAATCAGGGTTCAAAGGTAGATGAGTTGGAGACAGAATTCATTAACCTAAATCATTATGTAAATGCTCTCCAGGAAAAGGTGACTTACCAAATCGATTTAAAAATACACATCTCTTGACTACATATTAGCATGCTGTATCCAGATATTTTTAATCTAATCAGTTTTTTCTCTTGCTAGGCTGAAATGAACTACAAAGCAGCTGAGATATTGTTTAATAATTTTGGCCAAACTCAACAGAAAGGAAAAGACTTGGTTTCACGAATACAAATAGTTGTCAACAATATCCAAGGTAAAAATAGTTTCTAACTCCACAACATGTTTTGTTTTATGGAATCTTTTCAGTTTATTTACAGTGTTCTTAATTAAGCATGAGAGGTTTTCGTAGAAAACAATTTCATAAATCAGAATTTGGACGTAGCTGTGGAATTCACTCTTTCTATTGTAAATCTAATATATAATGTTAGTTTAGGAGCCTACCTTCCCCATGTTGTGAATAGGGACAGAGAAGCTTTGCCACAGGGACATTTAGAGCAACAAATTGACTACTTGACTTTAGTCTGACTTCAGTCTGGGTTGCTATCACACGCTCTTTTAAGTTAGAAGCTTAAATTTTTTTGCTGTGAACTCGGTCATTTGGGACAAATTTCAAGCTCAGTGCCATCTTATTAGCTCTGGATACTTTTCAGCTTAACACAGTTAATGCAAAATGGATCTCCTTCATTAAGGAATTCAGGAATAGGCATGTCTTTTTGAGAAAAGACAGCAGCCTTATAATGTGTGTCTTTTGCATAGGCTTAAGCACATTGTCTCTTTGACAATACTTTTTTCAGTGCTCTTGGAACAAATAGCTGGTACAAGTGCAGAAGGTAACAACTTGCCCTTGGGAGACGCTGCCAAAGAACTGGCCGAAGCTCAACGCATGATGACGGAGATGCGAAACCGCAGCTTTGGCCAACTTCAAGCAGAGGCAGAGAAGGAGCGAACAGAAGCTCAGCTGCGTAAGGGCTTGTTCTCTCAGTTTCTTACTCTCTCAAAAGATCAACCTGCAATCTGAAGCATTATTGATTCTTTGGGATGGAGTGCAGGGAGAAGGATTTTCCAGTGTATCCCTGGGATCTGTAGCAGTCATTAGTCAACAGGAAAGTGGTAGTTCCAGAGGAGATTTAAAGGCATTTTTAGTTTGTTATGGAAGAGATGGAGTTGAACTGGGGAAGAAACCCAGTGGATTCTTCTTTCATAACTAAATCAATCTCAGTAAAATAAAGATGTAGCCAATCCTAATAAACATATGCAGTGCTTCTATGTACTATAATATACAGTACACACATATATTTTAGAGGAATTACAGGTGTAATTTAACAACAGATTTTCAGAAGCTGCTAGAGTAGTCCAAGGACCAGCTCATACAAAGATAAAGGAAGTTCAGAAGTTGTAGTTGCACAAGTTGTACTCTCTTTTATGTTCCCTGCATGTATTTGACTGGGACATTCAGAAACCTGATTCTGGATATCAGAAACAGCAAGAACAGCAAAGTCACATGCTTATCTCCTAACCAGGTGCATAGTTGAAGAATGTGAAAGACCTTACAAGTGATAGTAATTTCGCCTAACTTTGGACTTTGATACCTACCTCTGAGTAACTCTTCTGTATCCTATCTTGGAGGCAGTGAAATGGGCACTCTTAAGAGTGTGATTCATTTAAACTCTTTTATGTTTCTACCTTCTTTGAGATTAAATGTGCCTGTATCTCTCCGTTGATTACAGAGGAAGCTTTGATGACTAGCGCAGATGTAGACGTTTACACTGTAGATGAAATAATTGATGAAATTGTTAGTTCCATATAAAAAAACAGTATTGGCAGATCTTCTGCATTCTTAGTTAATTTAGAAATAGCCAAATAAATGTTCATCTGTGCTCTGTGTCTGCAGCAGCAAACTTGTGAGCAGGTTTGATCCCGTGAGATGCTGAATAGCATTTCTGCTATATTAATGCTGAAACTAGTGCTGCAAAGTTTGCTCAGTATTGCAGACAACCACAGCTTTCTAATCCTAAATGTCAAACCCTTTTGAAGGAAGTTTGTTCTGCTTCCCTTCTTCCCTGAACAAAACTTTTCTTTCTGGTCCTGATACTGCAGTATTGGCACGTATTAAGAATGAACTACAGAAATACCACCAAGAAAATAATGGGCTTATCAAAATTGTGAGGGATTCGTTGAATGAATATGAATCCAAAATCACTGACCTTCGTGAAGCTCTGAATGAGGCAATGGGACAAATCAAGCAGGCTGAAAACTTAAACAGAGATAATGGAGTTCTGTTGGAAGACATTAAGGTAACATTGGGGTTCGGGAGAAGAAAGTTAAACAGGCGATAAGAAGTGCTTTTGATGGCTGCTTTTGACCTTGCAAAGCCAAGTAGCACAAGTTGTTTAGACTTTCTCCAAGGTCTCTTTCCATCTTTTGATGTATGTATGCACAAGTATAAATGTAATCTATCTCACCTGTGGCCTCTTTATGTGACCAGGACAGCATGACCAAGATACAGCTCTGAGGAGAGTAGTTTCTGCCTAGCCCTTCTCTTTAACTCCCACTAGCCTTTTTGTTTCTTATTCTAGATCAAATTCCTGCAGCTGATGTACTTTTTGTAGTAAGTTCCTTAAAGTATTTAGCTTTAACAGGCATGAAAGATGGGAGCAATAATGTGTACAATACTGTTAAATTATTTGGGATTAATATTCTCCAGAACTGCTTCCAAGGTCTCATCAGAAAGGTGACAAGAAACAGCTGTCATTCCTGAGCAATGCTTGATTTTTAGAGACTGTGAAATAAGAAATAAGGGTGTGCTGCAGGACCCATTCTTTTAAATTAATTGTGATTTTGATGAAATTTATCACTGTTCTAGCACAGTCATATTAATCTAGTTTGCTAACGCTGCTTGAACAAAAGAATTTCTGCATTCAACTGTCCCTTTCAATATTTAATTATACCTTTACGTACATGGACTGTACAATACATGTGCCACACAAGTATGCACAGTTGTGTTAAAAGTTGGATGCATCTGTACAAGTCATAAATCTCCTGATACACTTCTCTGATAGAGAGAGATCTGACACGTTACAATGATAGAAACCCAGCTGAAGGGACGTAATGCATCCTTACCTGCAACGCCACTTGTCTGGCTGTGTTTGTGGTGTGCCATTACCCCCAAGCTGTGCTGTGGCTTGTCACAGGGCTGCTCTAGGCCAAGGAGCTTCATTCCCCTCAGAGTTTTCAGGAGGATAAGGTGGGGCGGTTTCACACCCCTGTTCTGGTAAGATCCCCAGATGAAGGGATAGTGTCATCATTTTATTTCTGCCTTCGAGAGAAGAGAAAAGATCAGGATAGTCACCAGGGAGCTGTTTTTAAAGTTTCCAGGGTCGAAGTTTCCAGATGTGAGAGATCAGACACTTAGATGGTCTGTCCTGACAGTTCATCTCAGCTAACCTGTACTACTTTCACGTTGAGTGCTAATGACTGAACTACTGTAGCCTGCAGCTCAGCTGTATTCTATAGTACTGCAGACTCCTGAGTTTTCTCGCTCTTCTAAGCCGTAGGATAGCATTAGTCCCTAACAGTATAGGCATCTGGTTAACAAAGCAATAGTACCTTTGGTAAATCCTATTGCAAACTAGATTAGGTAGATACGGTTTTCCCTGCCTTTCATTTTTAACCCCATTGCATGTTATTCGACCTTTCATTTTTCCCCAGAAACGGATCGAGGAGACAAATGTGCAACAGAATGGCATCTTGGATATTCTGAGCTCTGCCCGATCTTCCCTGACGCAAGCTAACAGTGTACTTGGATTATTGCAAAAAAGCAAAGAGGTATCGTTAACCTTCTTAAGTTAAGGTTAAAAACCCCTGTATCTTGCTGTCACTGTAATGGGTGGCATAGCTCAGCAGGTAGGACATGAGGCTTATCTGAGCCTCACAGAAAGGGGAGGATCTCACAGCCCATCCTGGGTGCAAGAGGAGCTTGCCTATACAGGTTTCCGTAAGAGAAGCTTGTTGAGGGTTGTGATGTGTCCGACGAAGGCACTGAGCTGCAGGTATCTGAATTTAGGAGAATATCTGTGAGAAATACCACAAGTGGTTGTGCTATTCTTCTGTTTCTTTCTGGGCAATTGCTTTTAGCCACTGTCAGAGACAGGATACTGGGCTAGAAGGGTCTTTGGTCTGACTCAGTTTTTACATAAAGGGTATAGAAGCATAATGTAATGACGAGCAGTTGTTTCCAGTAATCTGCAGAGTAAGTTGGAAGGGAACGTTTTTCCTCTTGGTCTCCTCAGGTGCAAGTTATGTGTAACACCGAGGGAGATGAGGACAAAATCAAACATGTATGAATACAAATAAAATTTTATCTTTATAAACCTGCAGGAATATGAAAGCCTGGCTGCTCAGCTGGATGGAGCAAGGAAGGATATGAATGAAAAGCTGACAAATCACTCCTTATCAGCAAGCAAAGAACCGCTGGTGGTGAGGGCTGAGGAACATGCCAAATCTTTGCAAGACTTGGCAAAACAACTGGAAGAGTATGTTGCCCTTCCCGTAAATGAACAATTTTTGTACATGACATCCATGGTTGCAATGCTCTGTCTGTAACTTCACTTGCTTTAATGGACATTTACAAAGTCAGAAAGAAATTTAATCTTTTTCTGCTTCTTCATGATGCAGAGATATTTTATTTTTTCCCCACAAACTGCATCTTCCTGTAGTTTTCCTTATTTTTTTTCCCAGCAGTGGAGACTCCCATAATACAGTTTTATATTACTGCACTAACACTTCATTAACTTCTTACTAGCAAGAGAAAATCCTCATGTGCAGAGCGGGAAGATGTTTAGAATATCTTTTTTGTAGTGTTATTTCCTGTACTTGTACTCAGGGATACTTTTATGATGTCAATGAATTGGGGTAAATAATTGGAAGAAATGCTATCTTGGCAGAGTCTTCAGACACACCTGTTTAGCATTAGTGAGGAAGACTTCCTCTAGTTTTCTCATTTTTCAAGGAATCTTCTAGAAAGGCAAAAATATGATAAACATTATATGAATCAAGTGTTTCTCTCCCTGTTACTTGTACTTTACTTTGGACTTAGGAGTGAGGTTTTGGAGGCCTTCTCTGGTACACCATTACGCTAACTAGAAACTCTCAAAAAGTTAAATTCCAAAATATCTAACTCAGCTGGAAAATTCTTGCTTAAAAACCCATTTTCGTTAATTTTTGTTAGTTTTCAGTGTGATTTTTTTCCCATTAAGAAGACACTCTTCTCACAAATACAAGGCAGCTAATACTGGGCAGTTGCATAGCTCACAGGGAGTGGGTAGAAGAGATTTTTTCTGTTGTTTCTGATTCCAGAGCTGCTGCATGGGTTCTTGGGGAAAACACAAGAGGTCTTGTAGTTGCTCCATCTTGGGCTCCTTCTGCCACTCCTGTAGGATGCTGGAGCAGCCAGAGGTGATCTGGAAGTGGCAGTTCTCTGAACTCCTCTGAACTGAATTGTGTTTGGGGGGGGCTGTGATCAAGGTGGCTTATTGGCCTTGTGCCTTGGTGAATTATCATGATCTTAATAATTTAAAGACTCTCTTGGAGGCTTTTCCAAGCACCTGAGCTTATCCCATCTTTTGAAGAATCTTTTCATATTGGTCTGCCTCCAAGTTTGACATTTTTGCAGAATGAAATTACAGATTTAACTGAAAAATATTGTCTGTATTGGCATTGATTTGAAAATACTGAGTTCAGGTGGATTCAGAATACTTCTCAAAGTCAACAGTCTTTGCAGAAGGCTGCATTTTTCACCCTTTCCCCACAGAATAAAGAACAGTGCCAGGAAGGACGAGCTGGTAGGCTGTGCTGTGGAAGCTTCTACTGCCTATGACAGTATTATTAATGCCATCAAAGCGGCAGAGGAAGCAGCCAACAAAGCTGGGAATGCAGGTGACTCAGCTTTATTGGTAAGTACCCATAAGTGGCCAAATGGTAACCTTGTTACACCTAGATTTATTTTTTTTTTTAACTATCAGAGAGGCACCAAAAAAAAGACATGTGGGTCTTGGCATGCTTTGTTTGTCTGCGGCCATTATATGAGCTGCTGTTCTGCATGTTCATGAATTAGTCTTGGTTCAGCACTAAACAGGCTAGTTACTACCTTTCTGATGAGGCTGTCCATATGAATGCTAACTGTTCCTTTCAGTGCAAAATAAAGAGATCTGTATAAGGCAAGCCTGGTAATCACTGAAGCTGATTTCAGGTCTTCTCTTTTGCTTTGTACCAGTAATACCCACAAGCTGTTCAGCAGAGTAGTAGCATCTAACATCTGTTTGCTAGTAATTTCTTCCTAATGCCTGAAAATCTGTCAGAAGTTTGCTAAAGACCAAGGTTTTATTGTGCTTAAATTAACCTTGATAATTGTTGTTAACGGTGGTGTTCTTTACATGAAATCTCTGCTCTTGTATAGTTTGTGGGTTTGTTGTTTTTTTTTTTTTTTTAAGTGGATTGGGCTATCTCTTTCACTCTTTATATTTTAGTGTAATTACTAAAGCAATCTTACAGTAGCATGCTTCTATTACCAGACTGTGACGAGAGAAGACCTATCAGGAAAAGCTGCAAGGTTAAAAACTGAGAGTGGTACACTCTTGAATCAAGCACAGGAGACTGAAAGGACATTGAAAGGTACAAAGAAAGAAAGTGATGGTAGAAAAGTTGGCACAGCATGAGAAGCTTTCATTGAACCATAAATTTTCACAGTTCAGCAAAGCTCTGGAGCATGTATTTAACCAGCAGAGGCTAGTTCCATTACAATGGGACATCTTCTCATGGTTATTTCCAATGTCAAAAAGGCAAGAAAGTGGATTTCCTACCTCTGCTGTGCTATATACCTTTGCAGTACTCCTTTGCCTTCTACTTGTTTTGCAGTGCATTCAATGCTCAGTGGAAACATGAGCTGTGTAAGAGTGCAGACTGGTGCTAGGACACCACCTGTCCAACAGCGAGGTGGTATTTTTGTTTAAAATTCTTACAGGGCATTCACTGTTTTGTAGCTATTGGTCCAGCCCTTGAAGACATAAAGCAAAGGCTTGATGTTGCTGATGGAAAGAAGAATACATTGCAAATTGATCTTGTCACTCTGCAAAATAATCTCAATGGGATAAACAGAGGTCAGTTACTTACTGATCACTTCTATTTTGCCTCTTTCATCTATTACTATAAGAATATGCACATGCATTTGTGTGTGTTTCAGGTGACATCGACAGCATCATCACCAGTGCAAAGAGTATGGTAAAAAGTGCCGAGGATGTCACAACTAATGTATTGGATGAACTGCTCCCAATTCAAGTAGATGTGGAAAAAATGAAGAGTACCTATGGAAGCACACAGAGCGCTGGCTTCAGTAAAGCACTGATGGAGGCAAACAATTCAGGTATTGCAGGTGTTATCCGAGACCTGCCAAGACACTGTTAGGTCAACATGGCCAGTTTAGCTGCAGAAATTTTAGTCATTCAGAAGTTAAGCACCTAGCCTAACCTAGCATTCTGAGCTTCCTTTATTGCTGGTAGAAAGGGACAGGTACAGCAGAAGGTGATTCAGGACATCCTGTGGTATGTGTTAAAAGCTGATACCATGACTGTTCTCTAAAGACTTGGAGGCCAGTGACTAGCAGGGTACCTCAGGGTTCAGTACTGGGTCCAATCCCATTTAACGTCTTCATTAATGGTCTGGATGATGAGATGGAGTGTACCCTCCACAAATTTGCTGATGACACAAAACTGGGAGGAGTGGCTGATACAGCAGAGGGTTGTGCTGCCATACGGATGGCCCTCAGCAGGCTGCAGGAATGGGCTGACAGGAACCTCATGAAGTTCAACCAGGAGAAGTCCTGCACCTGAGGAGAAACAACCTCATGCACCAGTACATGCTGGGGGGCAGCCAAGCTGGAAAGCGGCTTTGCAAAAAAGGACCTAGGGGTCCAGTATGAGCCAGCAATGTGCCCTTGCGGCAAAGGCTGAAACACAGGAGGTTCGCTCTGAACATCAAGAAACTTTTTTACTGTGAGGATGACCGAGCACTGGCATAGGTTGCCCAGGGAGGTTGTAGAGTCGCCATCCTTGGAGATATTCAAAAGCTGTCTAGACGAGATTCTGGGCAGCTGGCTCTGGGTAGCCCTGATTGAGCACAGGGGTTGGACAAGGTGACCTCCAGAGGTCTTTCCAACCTCAGTCACTCTGTGATTCTGTGATTTTCTACTACACCGTCTAGAGAAGAGACCTAGACAATTAGGTTTAGGCTAGGTATCTCTTAGCTGAAATTAAGTAAAATGGATTGCATAGAGCCTGTGCTGAATACAAAATAAGAGAGAATCACAATCCCAAACAGCATCTTTTTTCATCTTTTCAGCAACTTTGTCTAAGTCAAGTGAGAAAAAACGTTGTAAATAAGATAAATATGAGAGCTAGCCCTACATGTTATTGCAGAGTCATAAGTCATCCCTGCAGTTACAAGACCGACTTAGAAGTCTTATTTAGACATATGTCTTCAACAGTGGCAGCAGGAGATGCTGTTCAGTGGATGCACATAAGCCTGACCCCTTGTCTGCTGTCCATTATCCTCATCCTTCCCCAGAATCCACAGTCACTGGCTAATAATATTAGAGAGCACATCCCTGTCTGCTCTATTCAATATTTTTTTTCTGGACCTGAATTTATCTGATATGTTTTTGGAAGTGCTGATTCTGTCTGCTTTGGCAAATACCTTTGGTGACAAATTCCAGAGGTACAATAACCTCTGTATAAACTGATAGTTTCTGTGAGGGCTTCCTAATGTTGTAGGACTAATGAAAACAGTTCTGTCATCACCCTGCTCACTGCTTTTCTGATAATTGTGTAGTGATATCGTATTTTTGCATGTTTTCCTCCTCCTTTCTATTGTCAATGATTTTTTGTCTTTCATTGCAGTAAAAAAATTGACAAACAAACTTCCAGATCTCTTCAGCAAGATCGAGAGTATCAACCAACAGCTGATGCCAATAAGCAATATCTCTGAGAACGTAAATCGCATAAGAGAGCTGATTCAGCAGGCAAGAGATGCTGCAAATAAGGTCTGTCCTGAACATTGCAATCATGCTTGACCTCAGTGGTTTGGACACACAGCAGTACTTTTGTTCCTCTTTCTCTTTCTTAATAATTTTGTTAAAATGTGTGTGAAAGACCAGGCATAAATTTAATTCAACAGCACCACCCAGCACTTAAAGTAGCTGTGATGACAGGAAGCGTAATAATTTGCACATAAAAATGAGTGGATGCAGTAGCATCCTGCTCCATCCTCCTCCCATTGATTTTTTTTTTTTTTTTTTTTGCAGGGTATCTCTGCAATACTTATCTGTACAATAGCCTCTTGCCTTCCAAGGTACATTGTGCTGGCTTTGGCAGCAGGGGTGAAGTCAGCTCTGCAGCTTAGAGGCAGAGCTCTCCACCCATGCATGGCCAGTTGAATGCTGACACTGCCAAAGAAGTTGTGTAGCCCTGTGCTCTCATGTCTCCAGCTGCCCCAAGATGTTAGGAGTTGGCAACTAGCATCTTCTTATTAGACTGCCCTTTCTTCGTTTAAGCAACTGCTGTAGTGGCTGAAGGGATAATGTGGTCTCAGGTCCCTGAGAAGCATCCCTGAGGTCATCCCAAATAACCTACAGCTACAATGAGTAATAAGAAGCTGTGAGGATGGTGTAAATAGCTGTAAGAGGATGTGTCTTTGTTAATATCAGAAGTGCATTATCATTTCCAATAGACAGTCAAGTCAAGCTAAGTGAAGCATTCGATGTGTATGTAGACATCTAAATAATTCATAGGCTTCCTCTTTAGAGCTGCAGGGCACGTCCTTCCCTGTCTGTGTATTGAAGGTAACAATTACTTGACTGAGGCATGGTAAGGCTTGATTAATTGATGTCTGGAGTAAAAAAGTGCTGTGTTAAGTGATAAGTATTGATAATGCAGCATACTGTATTATTCAGTCTGTTTCCGGATTGTATTGTTTGGTAGGATCAGAGTCCAAATCTGTTGTAATTGATGGCTGTAACATGACTAGAATATGTAATAGGTTAATTTGCGATTAAACACAACAGTGAAATAAGTAGGAGTAGTAGCAATAGACAATTATAACAAAACTCAGTATGTTTTTCTTAACAGGTTGCTATTCCTATGAGGTTCAATGGCAGCTCTGGTGTAGAGGTTCGACCTCCAAGCAACCTTGAAGATCTGAAAGGCTATACTTCACTTTCTTTCTTTCTCCAAAGACCTCAGACAAGATCAGACACTCCCCAGAGGGCATCAAATAAGTTTGTACTGTACCTGGGTAATAAAGATGTAGGTATATTTTGAGATTTAATCTGATTTTTAGAACAGACAACAGACTTTGAGAAACAAATGGGAGATGATTTATTTTGACTGAAGTTTATAGCTGCTGTTGGCCCCTTTCTTCGTAATTGCCATTATGTGGTGGCAGAAGTGTTTTGTGAAGAACAGTTCATTCCTCTACTGGCAAAGTAACTTGTTGGGTGACTGACTGCTTTGCCCTTTGATGCTTTGCTGTTTTGCTCCTTTGAACATTACTTCTCAGTCATGGATACCCTCACAGTCTTGTCAGAACTGACAGTTTCTGCAGCAGTCAGCACAAACTCAGCCCAACTCCTGCCTCAGAGCTTTGACTCTTTTCACAGTATAAGTCACTGTGAGTTTCTCTGTTTGGTTAAAAAAAAAAAAAAGTGATCAGTTTTAAAATTCAGTCCTTCAGCTCTTAATTTCTTTCTCTTCTGAAGATGCAGAACAGTGCAGACTTGATTGTGCATTCAGACTTCCTCATGCACCATCAAACATTTTTAAAAGTTCCTGTATGCGGTTCCTTAATATGTATTTTTAAGTCTTGTTATCTGACAGCAGCTGTATCTGTAGTGAGTCCTGTGCATACACAGAAAACTGTTTAAAGGTAGTTGTTCTACACTGGATTTCACCTTTTCATCCCCCAAATATCTGGCCAGGATATCTATTGACAGCATTTTAATTGTTACTTGTGAAATATGGTATGTTGGAGAAATAAAATATTAATTGTTTGGGAACATGTCTGCTCCTGGTCACCTCAGTAGGAACCATTGTCCTTGACTGAGTGTTGTTATGAACATCTTTTTTATTTCACAGATGTTGAATCTAATTTTTAGTAAAAGTGTCATGTTTTTATGGCTTTAGCTGGGAGATGTTACAAATGTGAAAATTATTTTAGCTACTATTGTTATAAAAATAAAAAGCCACACATGACTTTTCAATTAATTTATAACTATATTCACTGAATCAGTGCAACACATAAGATTACAATTTTTTCTTCACAGAACTGATAAACTTATTTCTCATCATTAGGTGGATAGATTTCTTATGACTCATGCACAGTACGATGATGTCTCTGAGGAAGTGCTCCTGTATTTTACCTTCATTAACATTAATCATTTACTAATTATTATTTGCTTTGCTATTCTTAGGCTTCCAAGGACTATATTGGTATGGCTGTGAAAGACAGTCATCTCACTTGTGTCTATAACCTGGGAGACGGCGATGTAGAAATAGATGTGCAGCCATTGGTGACTCAAAGTGAAACTGAGGAAGCCGTTATGGATCAAGTTAAGTTTGAAAGGTATAAGATCCACAGTACACAACAATCTTTTCCAAAACCTACTAAGAACATCTTTTATTAGTGTGATGTGATTTTTCACCTGTATGTTTTGGTTTTAGGATTTACCAGTATGTAAAGCTGAATTACATCAAAGCAGCAACATCAGCTTCTCCAGAGTATGGAAGCCCTTTGACTGCAAGCAGTGGAGGCAATGACATTTTCCTAAATCTTGATCCCAGCGCTGTTGTCTTTTATGTTGGAGGATACCCACCAGATTTCAGGGTACAAATTGTTGCTCAGTCTTTTAAAGAGATTTCTGTGTTAATCATTCTGTTGCTCTTACAAGTAAAGATTGGAACTAGCAGTCTTTCAAAGGCTGTGTAAAAGTTTATCCATATCAGTAGGAATAGATGGGATGCAAAGGAGATGCTACGTCCTACAGAAGCTGCCTGGCTTGCAATATGCTAAAACTCAAAGAAGGGACCATGATGGTATTTCATCTGCTGAGGACAGCATGAAACCTGTCCAGCCCTGCTAAGTACTATTCCCAATCCAACCATATGACTCCACTTTGAATTGTGCTGTGGTACTCCTGGGGTGGAGTCAGGTGGTTTGGATATTATATACAACCAATATAATAACATTATGATATTTAGAATGTCATATTCTGTGTCTTATTAGTATTTGCAGTAAGTCTTAGCAGTTACATGTCAATGTAAAATTTTGTCAGCTGATGTTGATGGAATGTTTTTGATGATGCTATTTTTCAGCCTCCACGTAAGCTAGACTATCCTCATTATGAAGGGTGCATTGAATTAGACAACCTAAATGAGCATATTATCAGCCTTTACAACTTCAAGAGAACATTTAATCTCAATACCACTGAAGTGCAACCTTGCAGAAGGTATGATACAAACACAGAAGTGTTTCACAGTTCTGTAATTTTATCATGATGAATTCTTGTCTTTTCACATCCAGAAGAACAACCACTGTCACTAAACTGGTGGGTTTTTTTCTAACTCTTCGTCATTGCTACATTTCTTAGAGAAAATCCTCAGTGTTGGCATGATTCACATCTATGGCAATCTTAGTCCACTGGCCAATAGTTTAAATGTTACAATACACAGACACAATTCATGGACTAATGTATTCAGCTCCTTTATATGTATTCAGCTCCTTTATAGGATAAATACTACATTAAGTGCAAATAGTCTGTCACTAATGATTTCCTCTCTAAAGACTATATGTGAATTCAACAGAACCCAGTGGAAAGTTTTCGCTTTACTTGGGTTAGATCAGAATTTGGTGCTATTAGTGGCTTTGTACTAAATGCTTTAACTTGAGCTTTTTTAAAATTATAATGACAGTAAGTCCATGTGGTAAGAGTTTTTGCTGTCATATATTCACATCTGTGACACTGAATTATTACAGGTATAAAGAAGAGACTGACCAAAGCTATTTTGAAGGCACTGGTTATGCCAGTGTCACACTGAAAGAACCAAATACCCACAGCCGAGTACGCTATGAACAGACAATTGAGACTACTGCAGATGAAGGCATTGTGTTTTTTGCAGCAAATGGGGTAATTAATTGAATGCTTCTGTTTGTTTTGTGGTCCAAGGGCATTTTCAAAAACTTTGCTTACTCAAGAACACATTAAATTTGGTAATAACTTCAAGGAAATTTCTTAAAAGTGTTATTTTTGTCTGTGTGGCAGATCAGTAAGTTCTGCTGCATGTTTAATGTCATATGGTTTAGTTTTAGGTAGTCCTGCAAGAAGCACGGAGTTGGACTCAATGATCCTTATAGGTCCCTTCCAACTTGAGATATTCTATGATTCTATAACGGCTGCTGAATATTCACTTTGTCAAGGCTGAGAAAAAAAACATTCCAAGTAGTTCCTCCATTAGGCCATGCAGAGAATTTGGAACTAGGGGCAGGCAGGGAGGATGTAATTTGAATCAAACCAATTTTGAAATACTGAAATCCTCCAAAAGTAGAAGTGCACTCTCCCTAAATCTAGATACAGGTGGTAACAGAGTAAAGAAGAATTATACCTGTAAAAGTGCTCAAAACATCAGTGATGCTACTTATCTAATAATATTATAGGCATGTTTGCAATCACTGTGACATGTTCTAGACAATTTCTTGATGCTGTAAAAGTCAGTAGACATGTTGAAATTACAAGAAGTCCTCTAGAGATTTGGAGAATATATCTGGAGCTGATACCAGGTCTGTTTATAACACTTTAAAGTAATTATGGTTGATTATCATAAGTTTTAGTCTGCTTTGTGTTATCTTTTCTCCCAAAAGCTTCATTGATGCACCTAGATAGCTTCATTAAAATTATTCACATGACAGTGAAATATATATGAAATGTTGTCAGATTAATTGTGTTGGTTTTTTTTTTTTTAATTGCAGGATCAGTTCATCAGTGTGCTCATTAAAGACGGTCATACAGTTTTTAGATATAAAGTTGTCTCTGAGCCTCCAAAAGAAATAGAAACCAATGCAACTGTAAATGATGGAACATATAAACAAGTATGTAGTTTAAAACAATCAAGTGATCATTATTTGTAAAAATACACATTAGCTGAATCTAAACATCCTGTTGTAAAGTTTAGTTGTGAATTTTTCCTTTTGTGTTGAGATCAAGCTGCTGGGGATTAGTTTGGACATGTGAAAATTAATCTTTCTATTGTCGTGCTTTCCTGTAAATAAGTTCAGTTTTTTAGAAAAACCACCGAACAAAAAGACTTGGACAGAGCAATGCTTTATTTAAGGAGAGCTGTGTACACTGCAATTATTAACATTATTTTAATACTTTGTGTTTTCACCAGCTAAGGGGTTCTTTTTGTTCAGGCCAGGCTGATCTTTACAGAGGTTTATCTTTCGTAGCCTTTTTGTTGTTCCTTGTCTACTTAGCCTCAGTTGGGTTGTTTTGTAGCGCTACCAGAGTGAAATCATAAAGACATTGTTAAAACTTGTCATTGCCATGTTGATTAATTCTCCCTTTTCCCCTTACTACATGTCCAACTAAATAGTGTAGGCCACAGGGTCTGCTGGAAGGAATCTTTATGCCATATTGGGTCAAGTTACCTCCAGCCAGCTGACTGACCTGGTCTTTGTATCAGGCAGCAGCTCCCGAATCTTCAGCTGCAAATAGAACGCAATATCTGAATCTTAGGTGAGGTGTACTTTTAGGGCAATCTTCTTGATGAAAATAAAACCTCACCTTGTATTTGGATAGTAGAGCATTTTCCTTAGGCATTTGCTTTGCCTAAATGCCCAAATATTGCAAAGTACCCTTGAACTATTACAGTTATTCTTGATTTAAGTCACTAGTAAACAAGAGGAGGGGAAAAAACCCCCATTGTGTCCTGCTCTGTGGGAGTACTTTTAATCTGCTAAATGATTTTTGTTTCTGCTAAGTCAAGTAATTCTCCTTATTCACCTTTTTTTCAGATTCATTTGGTGCTTGCCCGAAGTAGAAATACTGTTCATGTCAGTCCTGATATTAAAGCCAACATAAATGTCTTCCTTTTCACTAAGTACTATTTAGGTGGAATTCCACCTTCTCTACGGGAACGGTGAGTTAACTCTAAAAAGACTGTAATACACAGGCTTGGTATGAAAACTCCATCTAAATTATTTCCCTAGGCAATTTCTTTCACAGTCTGTATTGGGTATCGTATGTGGTATGAAAATAAACAGTATGTATGATCATAATCTGTGATTTTTGGTTAATGATGGTATCTTTGTTGGAGTGTATCCTGAAGATTGGGTTTGAACAGCATGAAGTATGTGTGTGCAAGAAAGATTGCTCTTGTTCTGTTTTTGTATTTCTTATATTGTCAGCATTTACAGGCTACTACACCGGTGTGTGCTTTGAAATACCAGACTACTGAACTCTTTTTCCTTCCACTCCCTGAAACCAGCTTTAATATATCCACACCTCCGTTCCGGGGCTGCATGAAGAATGTGAAAAACCCTAACACCGCATCTGTTATTTTTGACGAGACTGTTGGTGTCAGCAAGAAATGTTCAGATGACTGGAAGGTATCTAACAAAGTTCCTTACAAGCTTCTGCTGCGGTTCACAGAGTCTGGTTTGTCTCTAAATCCTGTTTTGCTTAGGTCAAAAATTATATTTGGTTAACATGCGATGGTAATAAAGGAACTTGGGCTTGGTGTGAAGACATGAAAGAAAGGAGGCTCCACCCCTGCTGTAATAGCTTGCTCCAGCACATAGTCCACCCTCTTAATTAATACTGTGTGCAATTAAGAATTCATATTTACCATGTAAACTTGTTGGCTTCCAGTTGCTATTATTGATTAGGCCAGAATACTTATTTACTTAATACTGCTCAGGATCTTCTCACCAGCGCAGTTATGCTTCCTAATTAAATGACATCTCAACCTTTTTTTTCTGGAAAGAGCTAAGCAGACTCTACTTGACCAAAGTCTCCCATTGTAAGGCTACTGTTCCACTCATCTGATTGGTTTATAATTATTTTCTGTGCATCCTTGAGTTGTGCCATGTTCTTTTTAAAATGGGATGTTGTGACAATTCAGTATTGGCTTAACTAATGCTGCATGGAGAGATGAAAGCTACCCTTCTGCTTCCACTTATGGCTACTTACATGATGCATGATCCCATTTGCCCTTTTTACTATGGCATTGTACTGAAAGTTTGTGCTGCTCATTTGCTTTCACTTTGTGGCATCTAAATCTTTCAGAAAGGAACTTCTTTGCAGGCAATTTCCATGTGCAGAGGATCTGACCTTCATTCACTGTCTGTTTCTGTATAACTTCTCATGTATTAAAACGTGTTTTGTTCAAAAAGGCACAGGTATATTCTGTGTTATGGCTCACACCGCTTCAGTTATGTAGCTCATTTGCACAGCTCCATACTTGTGAACCATTCCTCCAGCTGCTCACTTCTGTGTCCCCAAACATGAAAATTTTCAAAGCCATCATGTCAATGCAAAGAGTAGCTAGAGATGAACAGCTTGTTGTACTCAGCAAGCCTCATCTCCCTGTAGAGTTTCTCAGATCATAGTTAATGATGGTGAAACCAATTCAGTCAGTCTGTTCCATGCTGAACTAATTGTACTTGCAGTTTGCCTTGTGCTTGGTTTTGACTGGAGTCAGTCATTATTATGCTGAGTAGGGCAGTTGTTGTCCCATGTTGCCATTTCTACTGATTAAAAGGAAAATCGCTGAAAGTATTATTTCTCTTTCAGCTCATCAGATCTGCAGCTTTCTCCAAGAAGGGAACACTGAGCCTGAGTGCAGTGGGTTTCCCATTTCCCAAGGATTTCCAAGTTGGCTTTGGCTTTCAGACCATGGCATCGACTGGAACACTCTTAAGCTACAATCTATGGGTATGAAATGTGTTCAACTTAGAACATGTGATTAGTTTTATTTCTGGGTCAGTCATGTCTGTTTGTGACTGTGTCAGTTTGGGATCAGTTTGTGTCATAAGTCTCACGTAGATTCCTGTATTTTAAGGCAAGAAATGGCTATTATAATCATCTTTCGAGCATGGCATCTTGCATGTCATAGGCCAGAGAAACTCATCCTGGAATTTTCTTCACTCAATCAACAAGTAGTTCAATGAGTAACAGCACTTTGAACTTAAGCCTTCTGCAGAGTAGCTCATGCACCATAATACCACCATGCCAGTAAGATAACTGTTGCCTAATCCAGTTACCTGGCAATTTTCTCAGGAAAAACTGGCATCCTGCCCGTGCAGAAATGTTACCATCGTCAAATATGTAGAGGAGAGAGGTTGATTTTGGATATGTTCCCTCAGAAAGCAGGGAGATTCAAGCAGAATCCCATTCTTGCTGGCTGGAGGAGTTAAGAAGTGAGTGCACACCAAGCATTTGAGAACTAAAGAACTGAATCCTCTGCTTTTTTTGTAAAAATAATTTAAACATTTTGAATAACTGTTTGGTATTCAGAGGTATTTTAAAACAGCAGCTACACTAATCGTGCAGAACTGGGCGTAATATCTGGTACTAGGTGACTGAGAAACGCAGTTTGATTTTAAGAAAATTTCTTTCCCACAAGAGACCACTGAGAACTGTGTTAATGGCAATGTCAAGGAGAACTAAAGGCACTTGCATTTACCTGATTGTTTTGTGGGATTCTTTTATAGCCTAATATTCTTACAATCTTTCTGAGACCTGGCTTTGTAATTGCAAAGATGGGAGAGAAGGAAATTGAACTGGAAAAGAAATATGAAGATGGGTCAATACATTATGTGACAGTAATAAAAACAGACAACAGGTGAGCCCAGTTCTTTATCTGATTCTTTCATGTTGTGGTTGGAGAAAGAATAAAATTTTGTGTGACTTGTTCTTTGGGTACACAGTTTAAAATGCCCTGTGCTAGCAAAGGATACTGAAATAATGAAGCACAAGGTGATTTTTGGTCTATGGCTGTGCATCTGTGAAGTTTCAGCGCACAACACTATGCATGTCTTTTATAGATTGTGTGAGTTTTGACTGCTTGTCAAGCTGGAGCTTTGGAGCTCTATCCTTCCCATTGTCTTTACATATGTCACTGTAAGTTATAAATCTATCTAACATAGGTGGTTAAAGGCTCGAGGAGAAAGATAATATTATGTCTGTTTTTTCAATGATGATCTGTTATGTAGATATCAGAAGAGACGATTTACTGAAGCTCCTAGAATAATTTTGATTTCTGTGGAACACATAAAATGACACAACTGTTAGTTAAAGAGGAAAGTTTTGAATGATCGGCTATAACTTTGAGTAATTATAACTTAATATTGTCTGTACTAGCTATTGCTAACATGTCAAGTGTACTGCTTTGACACAAAGGATGAAGTCCTGACCCATGTTGTCAATGAGAGGTTTTTTTGTTCATTTCATGGTAGGAGTGAAATACTAGCTTCAACTCTCGCTCAGTATCTACTATTCAAAAGCAGAGCGGTTTCATAGCAGTCAGCGAACACATACTGAAAAAATCCCACAAGTAAGCTAATGAAGCTCTAGCATAATTACAATATAAGAAGAAAGCACATCTGTCAAATGGTTCTTTTTTAAATATATATATTTAATTTAGGTTCATAACGATTTCTTTAGATTTCATGCTTATTTTTATTCCCTTTGTTTCAGAGTACGTCTGCTGGTTGATGATGAGTCGACACTAGCATCAGTTGACTCTCCAAGAGCACGGGCATTAATTGAACCCATAAAATTTGGTGGAGATAATTTTGAAGGTTGCATCTCAAACATCTTTATAAAAAGGTATTTGGCCTATGAAGAATCTTGTTTCATGCATTTTGGCCTGTTTTCATTCTGTAATCATATTAAAATCACTTTTTGCTAAATTTCTTTTCTTCTACAAGTGTTACGAATGCATAGTTTTGCTCCCCCCAAATATTCTTTTATTCAGGCAGCTTATACATGGTATCAAGTTGTATCTGCTGTTCAGATGTAATGGAACTTGAGTCTTAATTACACCTGTTTAGTAGTCTTTTAATCAAAGAATGAACCCAACATTGTGAATTGGAAGTGTCCCAACAAGGCATCCAAAAAGATCTGCTAGATTGTATCATTATAGATACACAGGTAATGAAATGAGCAAAGCTCACTGACAAAACCAAAACAGGTACACAAACAAATGAGAGCATAGGTATAGAAATCGAGTGCCTGATTTATGCTGTCTCTTTTTTCACATCTGTTTATTAGAAACATCTTACAGGCAAAATTTAGGAGAAAAATTAATATGTTCTTTAAAGAAAAGCATTCCTTGAGTCACAAGTGATGTCCCAGGGGCCCTTTGTCTTAGACAAGTTTTGTTGAATATTTATACATGTGTAGAGTTTACAAAAAATAGTGTATTTTGATTTGATTACTACAGAATCACAGAATGGTTTGGGTTGGAAGGGACCTTTAAAGTTCCAACCCCCCAGCCACGGGCAGGGACATCTTCCACTAGAACAGGTTTCTAAAATTATATCTTCATTTATTTATTTATTTATTCATTTATTTATTTATTTCATGTCCTGCAAGATAATGAAATAACCTGTATTTAACCTCCTCATCAGAAAACAAATTTGGAAAATTGCTTTTAGTACAAAAATAGTTGGAGAATTAATATTGTAGCTAGTCTTACTGAGTGAATGGAGAACTGGACTGGAATTGACGAAGTTCAGGTTCTGCTCCCAACTCTACCACTCTGCTCATGGAAAACCACAGGCAATGAGCTCTTGTTGCTTTTTCTAGTTGTAAAGTGCTTTGTAATTTACTGGTTAGAGATGCTGTGTACAACTTAAGAAATGATAGCATTACTCAATATTATTCTTTATACACACAATAAATTGGTTTTGACAGTCATTCTGATAATTTGGCTATATTGGTAAAGCTACATATTAAGTTGTGATGAGCTTTGCCCCTTGACTAATCTCATTAGAACATCCATTTAAGGAGAGAGTGAATCATTAAGTTAGCAGGACCTGATGTTGCCATTTTTTTCTTGATCTACCAGTGGTTTTGCATAATTAACCAGCAAAGTTTTGTAGTCTGATCCAGACATCTTATTCAATCAAGGCTGCTGTCATTTTTTCCCATTTTTGTCAATGGCAATATTTGAGGTTTTTTTAAATAGATAGCTTTTAGCAAAAAATACTTTGTTTAGAATAGATGAGAACAAAACATCAGAGTTTTTTCTATAACCAGAAAAGAAATAGGCAGAAAGAACCAGGAAAAATATGAATACTTTTTCCAGCACTGAACCTACATTTTTTCATCTAAAAATAAAAATCAGTACTTTAACATCAGGTCACTGGGAAATCTATTTTGTACAGAACACTGTTTTACAATATATTGTTGATTACGCTAAAGAAAAGGAATGCTGTGTCACAGCACTTACTGCTTTCATCACTCTAGGGCAGGTCAGCTCCCTGAGGTTCAAAATCTTGTTAATTATACCACAAAGACTGGTGTATCCCTCAGAGCTTGCCACAAATACGAGAACCTTGAACCGATGCTGCTGAAGGAATTTAAAAATCCTCTCAGGTTTAAGATGCACAAGGTATGCTTATTTTCACTGTTGTCTTTGTTCCATATTGACGCCAAGGCTTTGTCTGCACAGCCATGGTTTGCAGAACTGATGTACAGATGTTATTATTTTCCTTTCATCTCACACCTGAAGCAGGTTATTTCTGTGCTGAAGTTCCACGCTAATCCCATACCTGTTCAGAATGGCAACAGCTTTTCTGTCATTTAGGGAAGGCTGTTGACTGCCTTAAATGCATAGACTGAAATTTTTTTTTTCATGTTCACGCATAGTAAATGTTTCAAGTCTGTGTTACAGGTACAGCATAAAAAATACCTTGATTATTTGAAAGACGCTAACGTGCAAAACCAGCACAACCAGACTTTACCAACTCAGTTAAATGTCAACAGTGAAGCATATCTCCTTGGAAACACCCCCAACAGTTTAATATCCTACACGTTTTCTCCACCGTCATCTACAGACAGGTAACACAAATGTTCTCTATTCTCCTCCTAATACTTGAATTGTCAACGCTGCTTGAGTCTTTGGGTACTAAGAGCTAGGATTTTCTTGTTGCTTATGTCTTGGGGCATAACAGAAGAGTAGTTCTAAAGGATCCAGCATTTTTTTTCCTTTCCTAACATTTACCCAAACTGAGTAGATTGACTTGGATGTGGTGGACAATTACAGTGCATATTGATGCCAAGTCCTAGGCCTGAATATGTCAACTTTCATTCACATTGAGAAATGCAGGCAATGTAGAACACTGTGATTCTACCCAAAGGTGTTCTGCATTTCACAAATGGAGTTTCCCTGGCACTTTTCTGGAGAACAGAAAGAAGACAACAACTAACGGAATAGACCTATATTTCAATATGCTTACTTTCCACTACAGGTTACATTTTTCTGTAGATATACAGACGCGATCATCAAGAGGATTAATAGTTTTCATGGAGGAAAGGTCTGAGGACTCCTACATGGCTCTCCACATTTCAAAAGGACGTTTTGTCTTTTCACTTGGCTCTGGAGGAAAACGAATCAAAATCAAAACCAGTATTAAATACAATGATGGGCAATGGCACACTGTAAGTAGTATGGCACAGGAACGGTGGTGAAACCACAACTAGTATTCAGCAGGCACAGGTTATTAGAAATTAGATTTTGGTCATTTGAACTTCATTCCTATGCCTGAAAGTTCATGTGATTGACAGGCCTCTGTTATGACAGAGCTTACAGAGACTGATGGTCCCAGCATGTTCTTTTCAGTTTAAATAATTCAACAATAAGTTATTTAAGATAAAGAAAAAAATCTCCGGTGGCTTTCATTGGCTTGGGGGTTTTTCATTATGTTATGCTTGCACCCTGCAAAGGTGGTCTTCAGCATAGAGGGGAAGAATGTCCGTCTTGTTGTTGATGGTCTAAGGGCCCAGCATGGACAATTAGCAACAAATTCTGCCTTCAGTATTAAGCCACCAATCTACGTGGGAGGGCTGCCATCACTGAAAATCCAGGTAAATAACTGACACATCCACACACTCCCCACGCTGCTGTAATTACACATCAAAGTGTTAATATGCAGGATTTCCATGTTGAAAAGGTTTGGGGGATATTTCCAAGCACTGACTGAGCACCATCTGTGACTGGTGTTTGCAGTTGTTCATTACAGATCTTTGTCCTCACCTGTTCACACAGCTGTCAGCTGGACCCATATTTTCAGCATGTGTCGCTGAGACACTGATGACAACCATGTACTGTTTTCATTTCTATTCTTTAAAAAATAGAAAAGATCAAAGTCACATTTTTAATTCCAGGAATACGCTAACAGAATATTTACCTCAGTGGACTAAGCAATAATCTGTAGGGAAGAAAAGGAACCCTTCTTATTAAGGAATTATGAATGTAGAACTGGATTTTAATCTGAAATATGTGTGGTTCCTATTAGTTTAAAAATTGGACAAGTAATGATGCAGGGTGTTTTATAAAATCAGATTTAAATAAACAGCCTCTTAGGAAGGGAAGGTTGTACTTGAGATTTCACAACTCCTGTTGCATTGTCTTTCTGACACATCATTGGGAAGTAGCTGTTCTGCAAGCAGCAGTTATGTTAACTCAAAATCAACTGTTACTTGCATGTTTTAAACTTTTTTTTTAAATTTTACAATACCTTTTCACTGCATCGGAGATGGGGTTTGGGTGCCTTTAGTGACAGTTGGCTTTCTACAGGCCAACAATACAAAAGAACTAATGGGTTTTCTTACTAAAAAGATTGCCATCGTGCTTTAGTATTCATGTTTTGAAATATGCTTTCAGAATATACCAATGAACAGTTTCAAGGGTTGCCTGAGGAATTTTAAGATGAATGGAAAAGTCATGAATGAACCTCAGCAAAAAAATGGCATACTTCCATGTCTGGATGTTTCCATGGAGGCGGGGATTTATTTCTTTAATGAAGGAGGATATATCACCATTGGTAAGCTGTGTAGAGATTATGGTATATGGAATTAGGTCTTAATGTGTATGTCTAAGAATTTTTTAATTTATTTTTATGTGGTTTTCCAATTATCTCCTCCTATGATCATTCCTGTATCCACTGTTTCCCTCTCCACAGGTCATTTGCTGATGGGCTTGGATTTCCGGATTGCATTTACCATTCGACCAAGGAGTTCAACAGGTATACTCCTCCATGCTGGAAGCAAGCAAGAGAGCTACTTGACTATTTACATGGAAGGAGGAAAGGTAAGTACAGGCTGTGCTTCCATTCCAGCTGTATTGTCCTCATTCAGCAGGGGGAATTCTGACCTTGAACTCTGGACTTATGTCTTACAAGATTTGTCTAAAGATATAACATTGAACAACTTACTCAGAGTTGTTTAAAACCATTGCACAGAAAATTAAGCATTTAACCTGTTTCTGTGCCTACATTAGCAGCTTCTGTTGTGTGCACACTACCTTGCACAAAAGTGGTGGTTAGCTGTAGGGCACAGTCTTTGCTTTCTTAGGCTTCTGAGTCTTTGCAAAAATCCACTGGGGTTTTGGCTGGAGGCTACAGAATTCCATGGCTTATTCCCACTCCTACTTCAGTCATTGTGTCGTTGTACTGGTGCAGCTCCGTAACCATGTGGTTATAGAACTTCAGCAGTCTAGCGTTGTGTTAGCATCTTCTCTAGTTAATGGATGTGTTATGGTGGCAATTATTATCATTGTTGCTTTTTCATAATGTGATAACTTCCGAATGTGAGTCTTGGACTATACAACTGTTGTGGTTGCTGCTGGAGAGACATCAAATAGAAAGATGTCAGTTCCACAGAACCTGCTGTCTCATGGCATGGTTTAAAGCAGCATGAGGCTACCTAACTTCAGAAAGCTCAGCTTTGCTTTTATCTTCCCAGATTAGGGAACTTGTTTTTGTTATTGATCTTTTTGTCATCAGTTAGTTTCCCCTAGATCACTGATCTGGTTTAAGGCGGCGCAACTAGCACATGGAAGCAAGGGCATCAGCATCTGGGGATTCCTTGAGGGCAAGCTTGACCACTTTTTTCAGCAGTAACTTAGATTAATGCTGGCTGTCAGTGCAACAGGAAGGAATAAAAGGTCCACAGGACACCATCAATCAGCCTAATAGGAAGTGGACTCAGCGTATCAGTTACCTGACCATTACCAAGTTTGTTGTAACCATCACACCAAAAGAGAGTTTGAAAGAAAGGTGTTGAAAAAAACATAATGCGTTCACAAGGAATGAGAAGCAAGATGTGAGAAAGCACAAGCAGGTGCTTGTTCAAAATGTCATCATAGTCAGGCTGCAGGCTTCGTGACTGAATTACGAGTAGTCCAAAATTGTGTGAAAGGCCAGAGAAATATATTGCAGAGATTCTCTCAGGAAATGCCAAGCATATAGATGACTGCTTTGGGAAAGGAAAGAAAAGACTAGTAGGAAAGACCTTGTCTCAGAGAGATTATGTCAAAAGAATTAACATAATTTTGTAAGATTGAGGGGGAGAGAGAAAGGTCTGTATTTATGCTTGTAAAATTTGTCAAATATACTTTCCTGGGATTCTATTAGGGAAATTTACTTTCCTCTTGGAGGAATTTATGAAATCTATATATATAATGACTGACTCTTAAAACTAGGTGAAACCCAGCCATCACAAGTTTAGTAAATTACTTAAAGTACTGCATTTTTCTGTTGTGCTTTTCTTTGTCATGGTAACTTTTTTTACAGGTCATAGCTGCTGGAAATAGTGGTGCTGGAGAATTCCAGACATCGGTCACACCTGAGCAACCTCTGTCTGATGGACAGTGGCATACTATTGCAGGTATGTTGTATCATACCAGTTCTTCTGAAACTTCGCAAGGGTGGTTCGCACTGAGCGCTGCATCTCCAGATTTTTATTCATCATTTCTCTTCTGTTTATTCTGAGAATACTATTTAGAACAGTGTAAGTGTCTTGTGTTAATTCAAGGCTTTATGTAAGAGGGGTTTTTGGCATTGTATTTAGCCCCAGAGTACCTAGATGTGTTAATGTGACTTTGAATTAAAATAAAATCTATTTTTCCTATGAGTTAAATTTCAAGACAGACGTTATCTAAAAATAGTGCCATATCTAGTTGATTCTTTAGTAGGGTTGAGAAAAAGTACTCATTTACCTGCTTCTTTGCAGTCTCTCAGAAGGGGAACATGGTGCAGCTAGAGGTAGGTTCAGAGAGTAACTGTACCACTGGACTTCCACACTTTCCTCCTAGACGTGTGCATCAGCCACTCTACTTTGGCAAAATTCCAGGTAATATTATTGCTGCTTGTTTTTTCATGTATCTACGTGGTTTTTTTTCTCTTCCAAAACAAAAGTCCTGTTCATGCATGTAGTTCTCTATCATTTCCCCCTTTTTGAAAACCTTGCACTAATTACTGTTCTTTAAAATCATTCTCATTTTATTAATTTGATCTTTCTACCTTGTTTTTTGTAGGAAATTTGGACACATTATGGCTTCCAGTTAAGGACCCATTTTTTGGCTGTCTTTGGAATATTAACGTCAATGACAAACATGTTTCCACCAGGAGAATTTCAGAGGTTCATGGTGTAGTGAGTTTGCACGGATGCCCAGCAAAGTAACTTTGTTGTTTGTACACACATCAGATTGGGTCTGCTGAAGTACTGGGTGAATTCATGCAACGTGGGTTCATTCCCCTTTTGCTGATCACCATTTCACTGTCATCACACTGGTTGTTCAGAACAGCTGGTGAGCAAATGCATCCTCTGGATGTGGACCATGCCAAAGCAAATTAAAAGGATTTGCTTTGATAAACTCCCTTCTAAATGTTGTTGATTTCCAAGGTAATCTGTTGTGCCTTTTGAAATATATTAGAAAACATAATTGTATATACCCTACTGGACCAAATTCTGCTCTCACCCACAACAGCATAGACTTGAGTAACTCCAGTGTCTTAATTTTGGAAATTTGCCTTAATGCTGGTCATCTTGAGAGCAAATTCGATCCACTAATGTAAAGAATTTTATAAAAATATAAATCTCTTTGGATTGATGTTTATACGGAAATGTACATTAATGTTAAAAGTAATAATAATAATATAAATGGAGTTTGAAGCACTTTAAGGAGTGAAACTCTGGGAGTTTGTTACAATGCTAGGAATTCTGGGGCCAAATAAATGCAGTATGTTCTTAAAACCATCCATTTTCTTGTTTGGTTATTTTAACCTGGTGTTTTCTTTCATGTGGTTTTTACAGACTGCTAAATCCTGCTTGCTTTATGCTAATATTTCTGTAGCTTTAAGAATCTGATTTGCCTGAATAAGCAGGAGTCCATCATCTCTGCTTATTAGAATTTGGTTATATAAAAACCTCAGAGTAATTTTTCTTGTAATCTTCAGAGCCAGAAGGTTTCCTCCATAGGCTTTTTTTTTTTTTTTAATTAAATGAAGACAAGTTATATTAGGAACAGCAGTTGCATCTGCTACAGTTATGTAGCATGAATTGCAGAACTAAACTAGCAAAACTGTTAGTCCAGCAAAACTGTTAGTCATTCAGATCTTACTTTGTACCTGACTGCGACCCATGGTGGAGGGTGGGGGACCCAGTTTGCTTGATTCTTGTGAATACAGGGCTGGACTGAATAGACTTGACATGGCTTCTTCTTCCACTATAATTCAAAAGCAGCATTTTGGTAGTTACTTTTTTTTTTTTTCAGTTCCCTGATGCCAAATCTTTTTTGCAAAATCAAAATATTTTCTAAGGCTGGTCCTAGGTGGGAGTAGACAGTGATGCAAACAAACCCTCCTTCCCGCTTAAAGCAGTGCTTGCTCCCATCTTCTGCTGCCTTCTCACTCAGGGTGCAGCAAGTGTGTCCTCGGTGTGTTTGGAATGAGGTGCTAGCTGGATTAACAGAAGAAGATGCAAGACTAATAGCTCTTACGGCTTTGGCCATTAATCCCTTATCAGATTTTTGCAGCTTTGCAGTTGCTTTGCAGGGTGACAAAATGTCAGAAAGCTGTTTGCACCAAATCTTGTGTTGCTTTTTCTTTTATGACAACGCTGTTGCAGGCAAATCTATTGTCCATGCAGAGGTTTCTCAGCTGCAGAGATAGTTTTGGAGGGAATGAGAAGCAGCAAAAGCATGCCGAGGTTGAAGCCTCTGAGGGAGCAGAGGATTGGCATGTAATGACAGAGACCACCCTCTAGAGATGCTCGGTAGAAACAGCTTCTCCTGTGTGGCTGCCTGCAATGTGAGACAGAAACACCCGTTGGCCTAGAGGTGATGGGGTTCGGAAATCATCTTCATGATTTCTGAACAACTGAATCTTTTCTACATGTGAAGCCCCCTGCCTTTGAAGTAGATTGTTAAATATCTGAGTGACCAAAACTGTGGAAATACTCACTTGATTTGATGGCCTTAGTTGGCACTGAAAGTTTCGACAATGAGAAAGGAAGAACAGTTAAACTTTATCAAGCAATTCTCTAGTAACATTTCATAACTCATGCCTGCTGGAGTGCTCTCTGAAGCAGATTTTCCCTAGTCACAAAAAAGCCTTTTTCTTCTTCCCTTCCCCCCTTAGAAAAAGCAAACATGCAAAGATTTTTGCATCACAACCTGGAGCAACTCCTGGATTTCAATTCCCTTCCATCTGATTTTATTTTATCAGAAGTAGTTTTAATGCTGACAAGAAGAAATGAAGAATACATAAAGACTTGAGTAAATGTAAGTTATAATGATTAGGAAGTATTAATTCCAGTACAATCCTAATGCATAACAAAAAAAGTAGAAAAATCTCTCTGGTTTTTAAGGTTCTTGGTTGTTGTTCCCCCCCCCC